ATACGTTAAAGGACAACAAAACGATGTGGCTGACGCACTGTCAAGAGCAACGATAAACACCCTTAATTCAAGCGGAATTGATTATAACGGTCTGGCAAAGTTGCAGAAGAGAGACATCGAGTTAAATAAACTCAGATCCGGCGGTACAACATCATTAGTACTCGAAGACGTGCAATTCGGTAACACGAAAGTAATATGCGATACATCGACCGGCCGACCGCGACCATTTATCCCGAAAATGTTCTGACACAAAATATTCGAAAGCATGCACAACATGTCGCACCCAGGAATAAAAGCCACCATAAAGCTGATTAGTGAACGATTCGTATGAACAAACATGAATCACGATGTACGTAATTGGACAAAAGCATGCATGAGGTGCCAAAAAGTCAAAGTACATCGTCATACTAGCTCTGCAGTGGGTCCGTTTTCATACCCAGACACTAGATTTGAACATATACACATCGATATTGTAGGACCACTGCCTGTTTCAATTGGATACAATTATATTTTTACATGCATCGACAGGTTTACACGATGGCCGGTAGCAGTACCGATAAAAGACACCTCAGCTGAAACGGTAGCCAAAACCCTAATTGAAAATTGGATTTCTTACTACGGTGTACCAACGATTATCACAACTGATAGAGGAGCACAATTCGAAAGTCGACTCTTTCAACAGCTTACAGAACTCCTCGATATTAAACGAATTCGAACGGCATCGTACCATCCAATGGCAAACGGAATGGTCGAACGCCTACATAGACAATTAAAAGCGTTCCTTACGCCCGTTAACAACGATTGGGTCAATAAACTTCCTCTAGTAATGTTAGCTCTAAGAGCAACAATTAAATAAGACATGGGATGTTGTCCAGCCGAGTTAGTATACGGAACTACTCTACGGTTACCGGGAGAATTTTTCACTCCAAGTAAATGTGTTCCGACTGATGTAACCGGCTATGTGCAACGCCTGAGAAAACACATGAGCGATTTAAAATAACACCTCCCAGACCACAACAACGACGAGTATTCATACCACAGGAACTGCACAACAGCACTCACGTATTCATTAGAAGAGATAAAGTACAACTAGCTCTACAACCGAGTTACGACGGCCCATTTAAAGTGATAGAGAGGACAAATAAAACGGTTACCATAGAGAAAGCTGGGAAGACAGATGTAATCAGCATCGATCGAGCAAAGCCAGCTTTTATCAATAGCGATATTCAATCGACAAGTACAGACTCCTCTAAGATGGTCACACCAGCGAAACACGAGTCTCAAGAATCAACGACGTTAACGCAACAAAAAGACAAGACCCGATAACAACAAGATCTGGCCGCAGAGTAAGATGGCCCCAACATTATGTCGCTTCAATTTTCTATTAATAATCTTGTACTATTTTAAATATTAACTCCGCCTGGAGTCCCTCCGTGGGCTACTGCAGGTCTCAAGCCCGGACAAAGGAGGAGGGTTGAGCATGGGGTTAGCGTCCCCATCCCGTAGAAAACTAACTCGCTAAAAATACGCTAACCAGAAAAAATTATTCAAACCTTTTAAACTCTGCCCTGGGAGTCAGAAGTTCTTCATTTAGAAGAATTATGACGCCTAATGATGAAAGCCGAATTCCTTCGTAAGTTACGAGGCCGATGTTCCTTCTGACAACTAGAGCGACCATTTATTTAGGTACATGGAATGTTCGTACTATGTGGGACACTGGGAGAGCCCTCCAAATTGCTGCAGAAATGAGGAGACACAACCTAGAGTTATTTGGGATCAGTGAAACATATTGGACGCAAGTTGGACAACAACGACTAACTTCAGGAGAGCTTCTGTTATACTCCGGCCATGAAGAAGAAAATGCACCACATACACAAGGAGTTGCATTGATGCTGTCCAAACAAGCACAAAATGCACTTATAGGATGGGAATCTCATGGACCAAGGATCATCAAGAACTCCTTCAAAACAAAGAAAGAGGGCATTTCAATGAACGTCATCCAATGCTATGCGCATACCAACTACTACAATGAAGACGCTAAAGATCAATTCTACGATAGGCTGCAGTCAATCATCGAGAAGTGCCCAACAAAGGACCTGACCATTCTGATGGGAGATTTCAATGCCAAGGTTGGAACGGAAAACACTGGATATGAAGACATCATGGGATGACATGGACTGACTGGGAGAAAGAAACGAAAATGGTGAGAGATTTGCAAACCTATGTGCCTTCAATAAACTGGTCATAGGCGGCACCATATTCCCACACAAACTCATTCACAAAAGCACATGTACTTAACTGGATCACACCACGCATAACCAAATCGACCATATCTGCATCAACAAAACGTTCAGGATGACGATGGAAGATGTGAGAACCAAAAGAGGAGCTGATATAGCATCAGCTCATCACTTACTGGTCGCCAAGATGAAATTGAAACTCAAGAAGCACTGGACAATGGGGCGGACAATATCACAAAAGTTCAATACGGCCTTTCTTCAGGATACTGACAAACTCAACAAATTCAAGATAGACCTCAGCAACAAGTTCCAAGACTTTCATGATCTACTCAATGGAGAAGGAACTACTGTGGAGGTCCTGGGCCACAAGAAGCACCATCACAAGGAATGGATCACTGTTGATACACTGGATAAGATTCAAGAAAGGAGGAACAAGAAAGCAGCAATCAATACCAGCCGAACAAGAGCAGAAAAAGCCAAGGCACAAGCTGAATACACAGAAGTAAACAAACAAGTGGAGAGGAGCATCAGAACCGACAAACGTAAATATGTGGAAGATTTAGCAACGGCGGTGGAAAAGGCTGCAAGAGAAGGAAACATAAGACAATTGTATGACACGACAAAGAAACTCTCTGGAAATCGCCGCAAACCAGAACGACCAGTGTAAAGCAAGGAAGGCAAGGTAATCACCAACATTGAAGAGCAACAAAACAGGTGGATAGAACACTTCAAAGAACTGTTGAATCGACCAGCTCCACTGAACCCACCCAACATCGAAGCAGCACCCACGGACCTCCCAATCAATGTTGGCCCACCAACAATTGAAGAAATCAGCATGGCCATCAGACAAATCAAGAGTGGCAAAGCAGCAGGACCGGACAACATCCCAGCAGAGGCACTAAAAGCAGACGTAGCGGCAACTGCAAGGATAATCCACATTTTCTTCAATAAGATTTGGGATGAGGAACAAGTACCAAAAGACTGGGAAGAAGGACTTCTGATCAAAATACGGAAGATAGGCGATCTAAGCAACTGTGATAACTACAGGGGCATCACTCTTCTCTCAATACCAGGAAAAGTCTTCAACAGGGTATTGTTAAACAGGATGAAGGACTGCGTAGATATCATACAGAATTCATATGATGGATTAAACTGCGAAATCGTGCATGGAGGAGAGTTGACAAAGTTGTTCGAAATAAAGACCGGTGTCAGGCAAGGTTGCTTACTCTCACCCTTTCTCTTTCTCCTGGTGATCGACTGGATCATGAAGACGTCCACGTCTGAAGGGAAGCACGGGATACATTGGACATCTAGGATGCAATTCGACGATCTAGACGTCTCAGATGATCTGGCCCTCCTATCGCACACGCAACAACACATGTAGGAAAAGACGACCAGTGTAGCAGCAGCATCAGCAGCAGAAGGTCTCAACATACACAAAAAGAAAAGCAGGATTCTCCGATACAACACAGAATGCAACAATCGAATCACACTTGACGGAGAGGATTTGGAAGATGTAAGATCCTGTACGTAGCTGGGCAGCATCGTTGATGAACATGGTGGATCTGATGCAGATGTGAACGCGTGGATTGGCGAATCAAGAGCAGCATATTTACAACTGAAGAACATCTGGAACTCAAACCAATTGTCAACCAAAATCAAGGTCAGAATTATCAGTAGAAATGTCAAAACAATTCTACTGTATGGGTCGGAAACCTGGAGAACTACAAAAGCCATCATCCAGAAAATACAGGTGTTTATTAACAATTGTCTACGCAAAGTACTTCAGATCCATTGGCCGGACACTATTAGCAACAACGTACTGTGGGAGAGAACAAACCAGATTCCAGCGGAGGAAGAAATCAGGAAGAAGCGCTGGAAGTGGATAGGACACACATTGAGGAAAGCACCCAACTGCGTCACACGACAAGCCCTCACATGGAATCCTGAAGGTCAAAGGAGGAGAGGCAGACCAAAGAACACATTACGCCGCGAAATGGAGATAGACATGAGAAAAATGAACAATAATTGGATGGAACTAGAAAAGAAGGCAGAGTAGGATAGAGTGGGTTGGAGAATGCTGGTCTGCGTCCTATGCTTCATGGGGAGTAACAGGCGTTAGTATGTAAGTAAGTAATTTTAAATATTAATTATAACTTCATTGTCTACACATGCATTATTAAGCTCATGTTATACTCTGTAAAACTCAACGTATCTTTTGTACCCTTAGGCTTATACGTATAATTTTTGTCTAAAATGTAAAAACAATACCGCATTCCTTCTGTTTCTTACTATTATTTGATATAGCCTCACGGACGGGCACAAACTAAATGTACAGCACACACTAACTTCATCTTAATTTTGTATAAGCCATTTTTTCCAAACGATTGTAACTACCCTATTCAGTTTACTATGTTTTGTGCAAACACAATATATCTTTGTTTGTAGGGGGAGCTATTATAGTGACTCACGTGCAATTGAGTTTATTCTCATTTAACTCAGTTAAGCACTTTTGCTAACTTATTTAGCGGACAAAGTCATTCGCACTATAACAACTGGTTGTACTTTTATTATTATTATACTTTTATGAAATATGTGTGAACGAACATTGTTTACCGCCTACGCAGATATTCATTCTGCCGACTTCATTATTAACTGCTTAATCTATTCAATGACTCATCCACTTTCCTATATATATATACATTTACCACTACTACTACTGCTACTACTACAATCGTAGTTCGTTTGCTCATTCGTTTTGCCTCTCTGACGTGTGTTCCGAAATATCTGCTAAATAAACTGTAGTAGCGGCTTCTTTTTACCTTCTGATTTCAAACACCGTTGAAGATTATACGATAACGGTACGAGGGAGATTAGTTATCGAAGGACAACCACAACAATATATTCTATTGACATTCATTGGTTTCATCGAATTTACCACTTCTAATGCGATTAAATGATCAAACTCAATTGATTTCCATTGTTGTTGTCAATGGCCTTCATTCAACTAATTAAATGTACCATGATGTTTCCTTCTATAGTAGTGTCGTGTCATTGACTATTATTTCTCCAGCCTTTATTTCAGAACTTTCACTGGTTAAATATTTACGTGGATTCCCATTCATTTCATTTAATGAAATACGTTTTGTAATCCACTACTGAAACGAGTGCTAATGACTCATTGTTTTAGTGATATCTACGTCGTACTCATCGTTCTTAACGGTTTCTTCATGTGTAACTCTGAATATGAACTATTCTCCCACTTAGTTACTCGTGTAATAATGAATGTCTTCAACGAAGAACTTCCGAGATTCGCTTTGAATATTTAAAATCGCGTTTTTACTGCTTGAATACATTTATTACTGAAACCATTTTATCAATTATTCATCTATGTACTCTGGTGTTTTCCATATAAGATAACAAAGATTTTTCATTTTAAAGTGAAATGAAGTATTAACCTCTTGTGTATATGAACTGGCAAAGGAACCATCCACTACCGTAACATGCCATGACCTACCAAATGTTCTATCTAGAAATTCTTTAAGCTTTGTAGCAATCGATATTTTATTGTCGCATTCATATTCTTGATATAATTTTCTAGCTTCATTGCTGACATTGATTTGTTGTGGTAACATCATATCGCCAGAAATGTATTCAATGTCTGAGCCAAGTTTAAACAATGCTGAATGTTGTTGAATTGTATTTCTTCGCATTTTTTCACTATAAAAAAATACGTATTAAAAGTATGGTTTGTATGGATTGAGAGAAGAATACTAATTTATCAACACTGGTCGCTGTCCACCTAGGCAGCCTTAGTCGAGAAAATAAAATCACAGTGAACATATGCATTAATGATCACCGCGTAAAACAGGGTAGACGACTATTCAAAGTCTATCAGGATTTTATGAAAATTAAAACATCAAATTGATCAATATATTGAGGGACAACAAATTCACACATAGCTGAGTTCTTAATGACTAGTAACCTAGAATCTCAATTGTTTGATAACTGTGGATTTGTGTGGAACATTAATGTGTAGTCTCACCCTAATAAGCACTTTCGATACGTATTTCAATTCGGATTAACGAGCTGTCCGAAGGATTTTTAATGCTCTCAGGACTGACTTCTCGTCTTATCTGTTTTGTCGTTGTGCCAGTTCCTACATTGTTAATTCGTGGCATACTTATCGCTGACTGACTTGAACATCGAGCACTAGAAGCATTCTAAAATAATCGAAAACATTATTGATGCATCTGAACTAAGTAGCTGCATTATATTTTACACATCCATCATTTCAACTTCGTTTAAGCTATCAGGATAATAGTATGTTTTGTGAGTGGATAACGGAGGAATGCACGACGTGCCTTCATCATATTTGTGTCTCATCAGTTGAATGCAACACGTTGCTAGTTTCGATACTCTCACTGAGACTCCAATACAAAGCCCTTCCGTTCATGTATCGAACACATTATCCATTGAGCTGCTGAGGACATATGGCCACCAATTTATTCAATAGGTATGGATACGTCGATTAGGTCTGTAATTGATTTTTGGTAATACACAACATCCCATTCATGAAGGTTCAGAATATCAACGACGCTGAATTACAAACATTTACCAGTATTTATAGGATGAACCACATCAGACAGACACATGAAACCGAAACACTGTTATGCTTTCGACCGAGCATAAGAGGTGATGAGAGAAAGTGTGATGATATTGGTCAGTTAGATTGTTCACAGTTAAGTTAGCCTGTATGCAAGAAAGTAGACAAAACTGTTCATATGTAGACGACCATTTCTCCGTCTCATTCCTACTCTTTCATATTTTCCGCAATCAATGTGAACTAGTTGTGCTTCATATGGTGTTCATAAGTTTTATATTTCTCAGTGTCCTGGCATAACACTAATGAAAAAAACAGTCATGTGATTACAATCTGAAATGTACTCTTGAAAACAAATATCGATGATAAGTATCTGGTACACTGACGATATCACCATATTGTTTTTTTCATTCTAACGGATTCAATCAATACACATTAACTATGAAACTGTTAAAACTGAAAGTGCATACATTTAACAAAACTTACTATTCCTCTTTTGCTACACCTAGAACACTTAAAAACTTATTAAGTGTAATTTGGTTTGTTTCCTCTTCCGAAAATAGCTCAAACCATCTCTAAGTATGGATAAAAGAAAGAGAATGTAAATTTATTTCCAAATAATCTATTCAACTACATGAAGATAAATTAATTAAAATAGACATGTTTAAATTGTGAAAATGTGGCTGAGTGAAACAGATATTTATTTAAGAGTGAATTGAATCTTCGATTGTTTAGAATATGAAAAGATGAGAAACCTGGTTAGTCGGATGCGCGATTCCGACTTTTAATTCATGTTAATCTTCCTTCCATCATAGTTGTTCAGAACCTGAGTGCTGTTTCATTAATTCACTCTGAACGTGATATATTTTGGCGAACGACTTTTCGAGGCTAGCTCTTTGATTCGTTTGTATCAATTGAATTGACCTAAGATTGTTAACAGTTTCACGCATGCGTTCGCTTAGCCATACTGAGTTTGCCGCTGAATGTGTAGTTCTTCGGAGAAGATGTAGAATTGAAACTATTAATACAAGTAAGTGTTCAGTGTAATTCAACTCTCATTCTCAGTATCACTGTCGGACGTGTGCAGCTAATATGCAGTAGTTCACCATCTTCAAACGATCGTTGAAATACCCTTTGAAGCTTCAAACATGACGATATATATTCTTTGATAAGAACACATAATTGAACTGTCGGCCTGTAGTAGTTCAGATAATTTGTTGGGGTCTAGACTGAAGTAAATGAAATCGATTTCTAATCTGTTACGCAGTGATTTTAAGGTTGATTGTGTTAACCGTCAGGATACTGATACATATGGCATCAATCGAAAAATTACAAACACTAGACACCTTAATAAACGATATTATCACACATGCACATCTGTTCAGATCAGTACATGTTGATAATCAAAACTTACTTGAACCATTCGATTGCCCAGATGATTCTCTTCGGCGAATTTCTCTAATTCTTCCTTAGTGATAATGTCATCATAGTTTGTATCGATTTTTGAAAATACACTAGTAAAAGTTTCCATTTGACACCACTGTTGTTTTAAATTATTCACTTCCTGTGCTATCTTTTACAAGACAATTTACATAAAGTGATTAAACGATAGTGATCTGATTAGAACCAACAGTAATGCTTGGAAATTATTGTAGAAAATAAGAGAAAATTTAGGTAAATTATGTCTATGTGAGCATATATATATATATATATATATATATATATATATATATATATATATATATATATATATATATATATAGGGTCATTTAAGGTTACTGTATTTACAGTATAATCATAAGACCAGTCAGAAGTATTATATTAGTACTAATTATCTAATTTTATTTATATTGTTTTAATTTAGGATGGTTCACGGTTATTTCTGGACCAGAGGTTTATACTACTTACTAGTCACTAATGACCAGAAATCACGGAAGTTTTCTACTGCAAATGAGACATCCTGGTTTTCAGTGATTACCTAACTAAAGCCCATCCATAATGGAAATTATTGATGTTTGTCTGTTTAAAGTAGTATAGAAAGACTGAGAACACTTCAAGATGTTTTGATTACAGCTATGTTTACGTGCAGTCAGTCATTCTCTCGTATATATTTCCGAATAATTTCAATTAAAAATTTAATTGGACATATGACTGTTATATATCGTAGTTTTATTTCCATCATGACTGACAGCGCTACATTTGACACATCCATAAAAAGATAGAGTGCTATTTCCGTCGTAGAAAACAACATATTTCATGTAGACCAGAAAAAACAACAGAGAACGAAACATGTTCTCCATGATGAACTACGAAAGCGTAGCTAATAATTACCACTTCATTTTCATCGTTTGCCAGCAGTAAAGTCGAAATTGCGAAAAAGAAAATAATTGATCTTCGGTCAAATAAACTAGGAACATTTTGATGAAACTTCCAATTCATAATACATAATATGTTAAGTTCTCAAGTGTTTTGAACCTAATTGTGTCAACTTTGGACAAAATAAACCCTTAACACATTATCGCATGTAGAGTACTCTTACGTCTCAAACGAAAATTCATGCATGTGCAAAATGTGATGGTTTAATTATCTTATGTAATTATTTGTATTTTTCTTCCCTTTGTAAATTTTAATCAAACAGAGATGGCAAGCATTATTTGATCCAACAAATACTGGTATTATAACATTTCAAAAATTTTGTGATGTCCTCGGTGTAAAACCGGAACAAGCGTTAGTCCAGTCATTTTGGATTTCCTTACGTCTACTTTTAACAAGAACTTACTTGAAGGGATACAGTTCAAAGTATATTAAACTAGTTATTTGAAATGTTTGATTCTGTGTGTAGTACATTTAGTGATGAGAATATTTCTCTTCTTTTTATTAAGTCCAGATGAAATTTGTGAACAATACATGTAACATGACATAAAATGCAAGTCCATAAACATGTTCAACAAATTATAAAATTAACTAGAGCTAATCACCACCACTTGAATGATTAGAAGTGAAAGCAACCTAAACTTAAAGCCGGAAAACTGTGAGCCACCTCAATAAAATCTGAGAAATTGGTGTTATAGAGCAAATAATATTAAAGTATAAACCACGATGTGTCTTTTTCATCGTGAAAACTTCTTCGCTCCTAGCATTGTGTCAACTTATCCCTCTTATTTATTCAGCTGCATTCCCGACTAATATTGAGTAGTATTAGGAGTCATCTAAACATGGAAACAAAGCTTCAATTTACCATATGGATTCATCGACAGGATTCTCATGTGAGGGATAATCTAAAGTGAACTACGAATATATTACTGAGCTAAGTATCAAATGGGGACCTGTTGCCCAATAACTCTTAAACCCACATCATATTCGCCATTGGAAAGTGGAGCTTCATATACGAGTAGAGTTGGTTCAGGATTCGTTCTCTCAAACAACAAAATACTGTCTGTCAAACAAGTATAAATTGTAATTCATCATTTTATCATTTTTTTCAGACGTACTCTTCGGAAGAGTGTTGTCAATAACCGACCACTGCCGAAAGATTTACAAATAATCTCCCAAAATATGTCACCAGAAGATCAATTCCAAATATTTGAATTTGTTCGATCACTGTTAGATAAAAATTTATCAGGTCAAGATATGACACAAATGATAAAACAATGGCTTGATAAGACATTCGACCCTTCATGGCATGTTGTTATAATCGATGGTTCATATTGGATATCGTATTCACATTTACCTGAACAATCTCTACAATTTCGATTGAAAGAAAAGTGTTATTTAGTTTGGCGCACACCTAAATATTGACATTGAATCAACAAAATTATGATAATTGCAGTTACGTAACGAGTATTTATTAGTAATTGAATTTTGTTTACCCATATTGTTGTTTAACCAACTGCATATATATACATATATATATCGACCCAAATGTCAAACTATCGTTTACTTTATCCAGTGTTCACCAAGCTATTTTATTTTAAATCCTTCACAGTTTAATCACATCACAACACACACATCACCGTATACAATTTATTTATTTTGTTGAAATGTTATATTGATGTGTATGTGAGATTGAAACTTTAGCATATGACTTTGTGTCATGCATAGAAATATAACTTACAAAATTTACTTCAATATACTTCTTTTACTGTTAGTTGTTTCATTTTAAGCTGAACTAACGACCATGTAAAGTTTATAGTTTTTACTTGATTGGAAGTATTCTGAATGGAACTTCATTCATTCAACATAACATTGATCGGTACATATTCATACCATATAAATAATTTTCCATGATATTTATCTATGTATATGATTGTAACGAGAACAAAATAGTAGAATAGTGATACTGATTAACTAGTATGGATCTGCTATCGATTAAACGTTCTTTGAAAATCGTGTCAGCTATGCAATTAGAACTTCAATACTGTCTACCATATAGAGATTTATTGTTTCGGACATATGGGTGGGTGGTGGTATAACTTGGTTGTATAATCTAATAACAAAAGTGATGCATTTTAAAACTACTTGGTGCTCTATCATGATGGATTAAACTGCGGAATCGTGCATGGAGGAGAGTTGACAAAGTTGTTCGAAATAAAGACCGGTGTCAGGCAAGGTTGCTTACTCTCACCCTTTCTCTTTCTCCTGGTGATCGACTGGATCATGAAGACATCAACATCTGAAGGGAAACACGGGATACACTGGACATCTAAGATGCAATTCGACGATCTAGACGTCTCAGATGATCTGGCCCTCCTATCGTACACGCAACAACACATGTAGGAAAAGACAACCAGTGTAGCAGCAGCCTCAGCAGCAGTAGGTCTCAACATACACAAAAAGAAAAGCAGGATTCTCCGATACAACACAGAATGCAACAATCCAATCACACTTGACGGAGAAGATTTTGAAGATGTAAGATCCTGTACGTATTTGGGCAGCATCATTGATGAACATGGTGGAACTGATGCAGATGTGAACGCGTGGATCGGCGAGGCAGGAGCAGCATATTTACAACTGAAGAACGTCTGGAACTCAAAGCAACTATCAACCAACACCAAGGTCAGGATTTTCAATACAAATGTCAAGACAGTTCTACTGTATGGGTCGGAAACCTGGAGAACTACGAAAGCCATCATCCAGAAAATACAGGTGTTTATTAACAATTGTCTACGCAAAGTACTTCAGATCCATTGGCCGGACACTATTAGCAACAACGTACTGTGGGAGAGAACAAACCAGATTCCAGCGGAGGAAGAAATCAGGAAGAAGCGCTGGAAGTGGATAGGACACACATTGAGGAAAGCACCCAACTGCGTCACACGACAAGCCCTCACATGGAATCCTGAAGGTCAAAGGAGGAGAGGCAGACCAAAGAACACATTACGCCGCGAAATGGAGATAGACATGAGAAAAATGAACAATAATTGGATGGAACTAGAAAAGAAGGCAGAGTAGGATAGAGTGGGTTGGAGAATGCTGGTCTGCGTCCTATGCTCCATTGCGAGTAACAGGTGTAAGCAAGTAAGTAAGTAAGTAAGTACGTAAGTGGTGCTCTATCGATTCTTCAATGCACAAACCTTGCGAAGACGATTTGTTACACAAACTCCAGCGATCACTCAATTACGTGCGAGTCCATCCTGTCATTTACAGATTGAATTCTGTCATAATTAGTCCCAATAATTACCAGACTGGACAATTCTTATAGAACACAAGAACGTCGGGAATTTGTATATCATAAGTAACTGAGATAGTAAGAATCCTGAAATAGAATGGCACTGCAACAACACAAGATGAGGTTTGATCGGTTACACTGAATGAATATCATACTGAAGTTTTGTTGGGGTGCCCAAAAAGCAATGAGTACATCATTGTCAACTAGTAATCAACAAACTCAAACACAGACGTATTCATTTGGACTATCAATAATCGAAGAAATAAACAGACAGCAAATCGTGCTTTCTCTATGTTAAACACTATAGTCATGATTCTGTCACATCAAGACACGTCCAACCGTTATGTATATCCAGTACACAATTAGCGAATTTCTACGCAGGTTAGTATTTGGAAGATTCAATTAAGACCACGTAATCAGAAAACGGTGTTTGCATAATGTCCCCTGTAGATAGTATATCATGCACTTAGCATGTGCTAAGAATAAAACATCAGTTACTAGACAATCTAAATACAGAAAGGTGTGCATGTAAATTAAAAGCGGTCATCCTAATAAATTTATTTGTGAAACATATCCATACTACCGAATATCATGAACAGCATCGAAATGCTAGAAAGTATACAAAAGTCACGCAAGCACTTGGTCATTGTGTACCTTCACTGCTTTTGAGAACATTATGATTTCTTTCTTCGCTCGTCATTGTTATCTGACTAGACATTTTCGCGAAAGTTTATTCCCGATAAAGTACACATTTTCCTATCCTTAACAACTGAGTGCAAATAAAGTTCAAATACATCAACACTACGTTCAAAAAGATTGTCATGTTGTTAGGGATTTCTACAATCTAGATGATATAGTTTAACAGACATAACTGTAATCCGGATCAGGCGTTGATGGAGATTCTTTTCATTCTCCAAAAATTCAGCAATCACTTCACACAAATACACTCATCTGTATCTAGATCTTATCTACATCGGATGATTAGTCAGGAAGTATCTTAAGTAACTGAGATAGTATGAAACCTGAAATAGAATGGCACTGTAACAAAACAAGACGAGGTTTGGTCGGTTACACTGAATGAATATCATACTGAATTAAGGCGAACGAATGTTTCACTGACTAAACATCACACTGGATACAATTATGATCTCACGTTAAAACGTGAGTTTTAACAGTTTTGTAATGTTTAAAGTAAAATCAACCAACAACAATGAGTGAGAAAATTATGTATTGGAGGAAACGCAAACACATTGCATTATTTTACACAGGTATACTTCGATTCCATGCTAAAATAATAGTCTTTGATCACTGATTGAAAGTATTCATATAGGATTCAGTCAGTCATCTTCACTGATTACAAGAACAATACGGACTAGTTGAGAAAGCGTATTTGTCAAGAGAATATAGCCTATCGAAATTGTGTAATTATGGCTAATCAGAATGACCCAAACCTAATAGATATTGGTGCATATGTTATTCGTGTGAGCTATTCACTCATTGATTATACTTTAAAGATTCCTGCATCTTTACCTACTATAAACCTTTGAGTCGTCAAATTTCGTTTGAATTATTTGGTGTTTTGAGAATGATATGTTACTGGCTAGTTCATTCGTTGTCTCTTCTTTGAATTATTGTTGACGTTACCAACACAACCGATGGTTGTTGAAATTGCCTCCACCATTTTTAATCTAGTTACAGTTTTAATGGTCGTAATCTTGACAGTGAACAACGGTTCAGTCTAGATTGAGCGTTCTCTTCAGAGTGAAACTCATCAAATGCTTCAATATTAATATGTCAATCTGTGAAATCCGAAACACGATTTCAGCACATATCACTCAGAATGTCAGAATGTTATGCAATGAAATTTCCAAATTCGACAGACATTACTGCTTCAACGAGCACTGGTTACTATAAATATTTGAATTTGACAGTTACAAGCAGGAAGTAGACTGCATTAAAATCAATCGTGTTCACATTTTTGACATGACATGATATGATATGATATGATGAATCGGTGTGAACATCTCACCACTACACGAGATCTTCGTAAACGTATGAGCAAATCAGTTCGTAGTTACAACATTTATCTGTACAAATGGCTTGTGGAGATAACTGATTGTTTTTAAGACAGCGAGTCGACATGAGTTAGATAACCATTGCTGAGTTATACTATCGTTATCCATGAAGAATGGGATTTCAAGACAATAATGTGAACAGTAATCAATGGACTGGTCAGTGAGTGGTTTATATATAGACGGTGAATTGATTTATTGAGCGTGTTAACATCCATGGTTTTGATACCAGTGTAAAATTTTCTATACAACAAGAATAATGTAGTGATGCGCATTCGAATATCATATGGAGAACCCATCCACTCAAGAGTTCACGTGTGATTTGTCGATAATAGTGAACTGATATCGGAACTAGATCAATCGTTTCCCGACGACTAACTTAAACCACCTGACAACTCAACATGGTAAACGTGATCTTCAGTCAATTAAACCAGTAACCACATTACAACTTGAGTGACGGAACTGTACCTGCACTAAATGGTGAGACGAATATGACATTGTTCACTAATCTGTGACCAATCATTTGTACAAGTCGAAACACCGTAGGACTTTGATGACTCTTACAACGTATCTCGTTTATCATTCTAGATACATTTCTACCATAACGACAAACACTTTCTAAAAGATATATTGATGGTTGGATTACGGTGATTAAACTAAGAACACAACCATGTTAAATGGTAGAAAAAGCACTTGGTGTGAAAATGGATTATTTGGATAGTCACTCAATGAACAATGAGTGCAGTGAATGTGCATTAATATGGATAGGTGAGAAGGCGTTCAGGAAAATTAACTACATGATATACAATATTTTCGATGGAATAATTGTATTGTCTGCATGGATTACTGAATGGTTACACACGAATATAATTGGAACGACTACTAAACTAATTGTTTATTACTTTGATGTTAAATAGGTCATTCACAAGAATGTAGTGAAAGGTATTTAATCAATTTGAATGATATATTTTCAAATACCAAGCTGTCAAAATTAACTGATTAATTCTAGTGTGACAATTATTGTTTAATGTTAAATTACATTCTACAATTCTAGTCAT